AGCAGTAACGTTGGTAGCAAAAGCTGACGGCAGTCCCCGATTCTGTGTAGACTACAGAGCGACGATCAACAAGAATTTAATTCGTAAATCGTGGCCAATGCCTGAAATGGCAAGTCATATCGACACCGTAGCAGGTGCTAAATACATCACAGACAGTCTGCGATGTACAAAGTGCATACCACCAAATACCAATTGCCGAAGCAGAACAAGACAAGACTGCATTCGTTACTCGGGATGGAAAATGGGTTTTCAAACGACTCCCCTTTGGCATCGCCAATGCGCCTTTTCTGTTTCAACGTACGATGGCATTGACTTTCGCACATTTTGGTCCAAAGTCTGGTCTTCTGGTGTACATGGATGATCTTATTTGTTGTTCATCTACATGGGAGGGTCATATCTCTCTTTTGGAAAATACCTTCCAAGCGCTACAAGCCGCAGGTCTTACATTAAAACCATCAAAGGTACAATTTGGGCCAAAGGAAGTGAAGTATTTGGGGCATGTTCTTTCCGCAGATGGCATACGATTAGGTGACGATCGAATAAAATCGATACTAGAGTTGCCAACGCCAACGAACATCAAAAGTTTGCGATCAGTCTTAGGAACGGTCAACTATGTCAGGAAATTCATCCCAGACTTAGCCGCCGTTACCGCACCAATGGTTGACCTTACGAAGAAAGACGCAGTGAAGTCGGTAGCGAAACGCTGGGGTCCGAAACATGATGAAGCATTTGCTGAAGTGAAACGATTACTCACCAACGCCCCTGTTTTGCATTTTCCGGACTTTTCTAAGGAGTTTGTTATCCATGTCGACGCATCTGAAGTGGGAGCAGGGGCATTCCTGGCACAACAGAATGGCGATGACGTGAATATCATAGCATACTTTAGCCAGCGATTCAACAAAAGCCAACAACACTACTCTGCCACCATGAAAGAATGCTACGCTGTTGTTCTAGCAATTCAACACTGGCGTCCTTATTTATGGGGTAGACATTTTACGTGCGTGACTGATCATGCGGCATTGCGATATCTTTACACGATGCAAGACACGTCAAATATGCTCACCAGATGGGCAATAGCACTGCAATCCTTCGATTTCACGGTAAAACATAAACCGGGAAAGTTGCATGTAGTGCCGGATACGTTATCGCGACTTTTCGTGTTTGAAAATGAACAAGAACGAACTGCGCCGAATCTTGCACCGATTTGCCGAAATGTACCGGACGACCCAAAGCTGCAACAACACATGCCAAACAGACCATACCAAGTCTCGATTGACAAATTGGACGATGTGCAACCAGTCCTTAGTGATAGGGAACTGTTCACAGTCAATTCAAATTTCGTCAGCGCCATGAAAGTATTTGAATCTGTTGATCATGAGAAATTGCGCGAGAAACAAGCCGAAGAATACGGCGAATATGTCCAATACATTTTAGACGCCAAAGCACCGCTACCGGACAACGAAACGGCAACATCAATGTCGTACTATTCCATACAAGACGGTTTACTGTTTAAATCGTATCTGCCAGGACACCTACGAAAACGAAGCACTTTTAGTGATCAACTTGTAGTCCCACATGACCTCACAGGTTTAGTGATGCACGCATACCATGATCACGCTCTTTCGGGTGGACATCTTGCATTTCGTCCAACGTACGAAAAAATACGACAAAAATATTGGTGGCAGTCAATGAACCGTGACATACGGACTTGGTGCCTAGAATGCCAGGCCTGTCAACGGAGAAAGACACCCCACCGCCGTCCGAAACTGCCGACAGGTCATGTACCTGTACAGCGGCCATTTGAAAGAGTATCAGTCGACCTAGTCGAGTACAAATCGCTCTCAACATCAGCAGTCGGAATGAGATGTAAATACGTGCTTTCCATGATGGATCACTTAACGCGTTATGCAATTCTCACACCAGTTCCGAACAAAACTGCTGAAACCGTAGCACATGTAATCATTGATCGGATTATCAGTATTTTTGGCCCGCCAGAAATGCTACATTCTGATCAAGGGACTGAAATTGAAAACAAGATCATCTATCAGTTAGTTGCAAACAATCTTGGGCTACAAGAAAACACGCACGACGCCGTATCGTCCGCAAGGTAATTCGGTCTCTGAGCGTGTGCATTCCACGATGCATTCCATGCTCGCAATGCATAGTTCCATGGATCGTGACAACTGGGCGGAACTCTTGCCAATGGTTCAACTAGCGTATAATACGTCGTTTAATAAAACCATGCATGAGACACCGTACTTCTTGATGTTTGGTCGCCAAGCACGGTTACCGGTAGATGTAATTCTCGGAATCCCACATGTAGGTTCAACTGCAGATACCGAGAGTTTTGCTCAAAACACACGAGAAAATCTACAAATTGCTTTCGAACTAGCGCGAAGAAACCTAACGGAACGTGCAGAGAAGCAAGCTGCAAAAAACGAAAAGTTACCGCAGTACCCCGTCTTTAAACCTGGTCAACAAGTACTAGTATACCGACCACACCAGGATTCAGATGGGCCAAATCCGAAGCTGTTCTTACCGTGGCGAGGACCGTATGTCATCTGTTCACAACTGTCACCGGTTGTGTATAGGGTGCAGCGAGTAAATGAAACACGAGAAATATCCGTGCACCTTGCCCATCTAAAACAGTACCATGAAAAGGAAAAACCACCAGCACCACAGTTTGAAAAACTGGCTGAATATTTCCTTGGGAAACAAATTCCCTTACCTGCCCTGACAGCAAACGACGAAAATCAACCGAAAATTGAAAGATACGTCGTACTGAAAGTGGTAGGGCATCGAAGTGGTCAAGGCCGAAGAGGTCCGCACAACTATCGATATCGTCTAAGACTGAAAGGATACGGTCCTGAATCAGATCTGATGTATCGTGCCGACGAAGTGCCGCAATGCCACGAAATGATTTCCGCATACCGATCAAAACATGATCTGGACATCGCGCCCGCCAAGAAATCGTCTGAAGCGCCGCAGAAAATAGCGAAGCGCAAACGTGACGAAGGTAGGGATCCGAGTACAAACAAACGCGCAAGGCACAAAGCAAAGCCAACCAAGGCATGTACTAAGCCAACAAAATGCGTGAACAAGGAAAGTGCTCAGCGGAAAAGTAAACGAAGTCCGAAGGCAAACAAAAGATACATTTCCAAAGTGTCTAAACGGTGAAAGGAATAGCATCCAAACAATAAGGTTGCTATCCAGCATTTGATTGGGTCAAATGCTGGCGAGGAAATGTCAAGTTAACCGGTCTCTAGTGAAATTGAGGGTCGCAACTCGATGACACTACGTGAGTCACGGAAACAGTCTTTAGACTGTCGAACACCGTATGCCTATCGTACTCAAGAAGCAAAACGATTGCTTACACCCAGCGGTATGGTTACGCGAACCAGAACCCGCACAAAGTACAAATTCTTGATGCTTAACAAGAATAAACTTTGACATATCATCATTGATTGACATCAATAACTGGTAGCTTGTACGAGCCTTGGAGAGATTAAATCCGTACGGTGTTGCTTTCAACACGTGTGTTTTCCACACGGCACTGTCAGCTGTCTTCGGATAGTGAGGGAGAGATTTAATTTTCGAAAAGCTATATCTGGATCCAATGATACATCCATACCTGCTCCACTACAATTAACATGCAAACATGCATGCGCGCCAAAACCCAACTTCAACAAGCTGAGCTTTCGGCGAAGAAAAAGGGGGGCTATGTGGAGGTCAGGATATGGAGATTCAGGGAGCACAGATACACGTACATAAAGAGTAGGATCTGAGAGGATATGTGATAATAGATTACCGTTCTTCGAGGGTCTATGACTCTTACGATTCCCAACGGCTGCGAAGAGTTGATGAATCTTTAGGAGAATGGGAAAAGGGTCCACGAAGGCTCGCCCACTCTCCTCGCCACCCTGGCTTGACTGAGTTCGCTCGGTCACGCTTGGCATTCCTCGCCATATTGCACCAAAGGAAATAGCCAACCTCCGGTGGCAGGACATAGCCACCACACTCCCGGACTCTCTGCTCAGCCAGAGTAGAGGGCTTCCATATACGGGTGGGAAATAGCTTGACCGGTGTATCCCCGTCGTCGGCGAGTACACACCCCGGCCTACATGTAGAACGAGCACTAAAAATGATGGAAGAATCAGACGACTATTTATTGTAAGATTGGTGATCTTCGATCTCACCATTGTTTGTGTGTGCTAATTTGTTTTGCTCAGCATCGTGTGCCAAGCAGTAGCAGCGATGGGTCTTCTTTCTGTCTCTTGTTCCTATGAGTGGGACCTTGTTAACCGAACCTACTTCGATGTCGACTGATTTTGAAGAACCCGCAAGAGCACCAGAAAATGCACACGTGACACACTAGACCAGTCGGAAGGCATCGGGACAAACAGAAATCGTTGATTCTCGCACTGGGCGGCGGTAGAGGCTACTCAAAACAAACATATCGTGAGTCTACCTCCACACGCCCCCCCTTTGAAATCAACATAAACACACGATTCATTCTAAATTCAAGTCAAAAGAGCCAAAGCGGCAGGTGCTCAAACAAAGGCCGGTTTGTCATTCTCCCGGACTGTTGTTTATTTTTCTCTGCAACTAGGAAGGCTAGTTAGTTAATCATCATCACCACGTTGTTCTTTTACAGTTTGATCTCGGTGTCTAGATTGCGAGTTGTTGTCGGCTGTTCCAGGTTTTGAGTCCAAATTATTTTTCCTTTTTTGGGTCGTTGGTCTGTGACAACGGAAGGCGCCCGCGTCAGTTGGACCGGTACGAATGTAACATGCGGAGTAGAAAGGTACTGGGCACAGACGAGACCGGATCAACTGCTGCGCTGTGCGTGGTGGGATCTGAAGAAGATGTGAAGACAACAAAAACCAACCGCTGGTGGCGGGGTGCTGTAAATACTGTTCTCGTATTCTCGTCCAGAAGACCCCCCGTGACGGTGAGCACGTCAGACAGCAGCAGCAGACAAAGAACACTCTTCTCTTCCCACTCCTTTCCAGCAGAGACCATGGTGACCATCGAGCTCACACCCGCCCACGGCTTTCCCATGGCAGTAGCCATCTGCAGCGCTTTTGTGACCACGTGGGCTGGGGTTGGCGTGGGCATGGCCAGGAAGAAGTGAGTCCTGCGTCTGTCGTAGAACGGCAGGAACAGCAATCATCTGTAGTACTCGTTTAGTTGCCAACAACTTTAGAGAGAAGAGAGGCGTGGTTTCTGCATTTGACAACGTTATCGTTGCATAGTGTGCCATCGGCGATCCGACAACGCTCAGGAGGACTTTGACCCACAGCAATCCACTAGCGATCGCCTTTGACAGCAGTTGTACATTGGGTGATGGCAGGTGGACAAAATTTGGCGGGAATCATAAAGGCGGGGAGTTGTTTTTTCCGCCGCGTTTTTGAAGAGCCCGTCCACCCAAAGGGTAAGCCATGTACCATGTATCATGAAGGCCTCAGCTCTCATGCAGCGAGTGATTGGGGAGGACTTGATAGAAGGATAAACCGGCAGGAGAATAGGAGACGAACGGCGTCGATCGTTAACGTGTCCGGTGGATACTGAAGAGTTGTCGAGCACTTCAGCTCATCGACGAATGAATCTGACAACACAACCGGCAGGATCTGTCGAGATGGAAGCAGTGGAAGATACCATTTTTTCTTTTTTTCTTTTGTCAGTAGACCCAACGAATCCATCTATAAGAAAAGAGTCTAAGATAGATTAGCAATGAATCCACAGCATTTATTTGCCCATGCAAATGTAGATACGTGTCGGTATAAACGGTATGACACTTGTCATTTATCGCCACTCAACGCCAGGCCCCTCTCGCCACCCTTGCCTCGTACCTCGCGCTTGCCCGCGGTTTACTCGAAAGGTACGGGATCAAGTACCCCCAGATGTACGCCGACCAATCCGACGCCAACGGCGTGATCTTCAACTGCTACCAGAGGGCTCACCAGGTGAACTGATGGCAACTCTTTCGGTCTACGACAGCAGTAGCTTTTTTTTTTGAGATGGGGGAGAGAGTGCGAGAGAGACAGAAGTAGTGCAGAAAAAGAGACAAATGTATTTCTTCTGTAGACGCAGCAGCTATCTCCACCTATAGTCTAGGCCATGAGGGCAGCGAGCGACAGGGTGATGGCCGCAGACAGGGTCATCGAAGGGTTGATGGGTGGTCGCTGTGCGGCCGGTCGAGGGCAGGTTCGCCTTGGACCTTGAAAGATCGGTCGTTTAAGCTGCCTAAACGACTCTATTTTCAGCATATTCAAACGATATGAAAATGATCCATGAGGGGGCTTGTACGCATACACCCATAGCTGTTTTTGTGGGCGATGTTTCAAGAGCGGCGCCTGGGGGAAAAGGAGAAAAAAAGAAAGAACTAAGTCTAGGCCTTTCTCTCGCCAAACACCTGTATATTATATCTCGACGAGCACGATTGATTTCGGTTCACAAGCGGGTTGGCTTTTCAAGGGGCCCTCCATGTGGAAATAACGGAACATCCCCAGCCTATGTGTCAGTCTTGGTGGCGGGGCGGGGCTGGGCGGGGGGGGCGGGGGAGCTTGAATGTCCCCCGGGGGGGGGCATTTTGGCCGAATCCCATGGGTTTCGACATTTTTCGCGCACTTTTTTCAGCGCACACGCGCGGGATCCAACAAAGCAGAGCTAGTGGAAATTATGAAACACCTCAGGCTACGAATCAATCTTGGTCGCGAGGGGGGGGGGGGGGGGGGGACTCCTATTCCTCCTCCTGCATACCCTAATCCTTAAAACTTTTGACCCCCCATCCCCCCCTAACCGGGACGGAACACGCCGGGGTCTCACCGGACCAGGCTCTCACATCACCAAACACGAAACGCCCTGAGGGATTCCGCGAGTCGCATGAAGGGTGCGCCCTCCTCCCCGGTTAAGGGGGGCTCAAAACCTTGGGGTTTTTTCCCTGCGAAAGAAAGAAAAACCGCCATAAAAGGAAATTTTATTTTTGGGGGGTTTCTACCTTCCAAAAAAAAAAAAAGGGGAATGTGGAACTTTCCCCCCAAGGGGAATTTAACCCAATTCCTAACAA